ACATACATACATACATACATACATACATACATACTTACATACATACATACATACATACATACATAAACACATACATACTACATACATACATACTTCATACGAACATATATATATATATATATATATCTACAGAGAGAGAGAGAGGGAGAGAGGAAATATCATTATGAAACCATTGACAACTGGTTCAGAATTTGCTTGAGTTCAGAGGAATCCACCACACAAAAATTGATAGGCGGAGTCGTACACAATCAGGGTCTCAGAGGGACCCAATATTTGTCGATTTTGGGTGCACTCCGTAGGCATGGCAAGTTGGGTGGGAATAAAACCACGCAACCACAGAGTGTAAAGTTTACACTCAATCAGATTTGCTATCAATCAGTTCACATCAGGCCCATTTTCTTCGAAACTTCCCTTCATTAGACACTACTGCCTTCATTTTGGCTACATATTCCGCCCTTTCCACAACTACAATACCTAATCCCTTTTCCGGCTAAAGAAATACAGGATACTTCATTTATTTTAGCTGTATGATTGCTTCATGATATTTTTTCCCCAGACACCAAGGTTGGTGGATAAGTGAGGTTAAAAACTCACGAGATATGTCCAGAAATTTAGCGTTCACCCATGAAGTGTTCTCAGATGTCACAGAGCCAGCATATTCTGACTGACCATAAAGTGCGTGCGTAATGCTTCGAAAGTAACGAGTGACAAAAGCTGGCGGCATCTTTTAGTCTTCAACACACAATAGCCATGTTTCAAAGCTATTAAAACGGTTTCAACGCACGTAAACAGCTTTCTTAGTTTACCTAACTCTGCAACACTGCAGGGATCGTCCAGTTATCTTTTTGTCTATATTCGGAAGGGATAAACAAGTTTCAGGTGTCTAGAGACTACCGCTCACACAAGTCATGCGGTACACCGTCAATCTGACAACAGTTCGCCGTTTTGCAATACACCCAGAAATCTCACGAGTTGAAATAAGCAAAAAGCCTTGCGAAGAAGCATCGTTATTGGTTTCGTAAAATGAAACGAAGGTTAAGTTCCCATGAGTTGACCGGTCACGAACTGATGACAGTCTCTTTATTCTCGCCGTTATTCACGGAGATACAAGGACAGTAAACGGCGGAAACGAACTGAGGGGCATCTTCACTCAGATAATCGAAAGATGGTGGTGGTGGACCCAGGTAGTTGCAACGAAGAGGGATCAACGATGTCATGTTGACGATAGAAGCGAACGCCATATGAGAAAGTGACCAAGTGGTGGTCATGGTGCCAAAACGGTTTAGATGCTTTTGCCAGTAATCTAACAAACGGCCGATGGCGTCATCGCAACACAGACTTTCATCACCACCGTATGAGTCTGTGGTGATGAATGACTAACCAGTAATTATCAGGAAGGTCAGATTCCTGAAAGCAACTTCAGAACGCCCGGAACCTACTGCTCCACCAAAACCTCAACTGGAAAGCCGAGAAGCATCCAGGCCAATCAATCATCCAATCAATTCAGCAAGACCTGATGAGTGTTCTTGCGGCCACAGAAGCACGACCGAATGTGATCAGCGTTCAGGCTTTTCACAGAGGCACGGTCGATGTTGATGGGTGATCACTAACGCCTATCAGACAGCCTGGATCAATGTCAGAAAGTCCCCTTTAAATAGCGTGGGGCCGTTGTAACTTTTGCTCTCACACTCGCTTGTTCGGAATACAGCTGTTGTGTTCCCTTCTGTGAGTCTCTTCTCTCCGACACTAGGCACTGGAGCGGGTCAGCAGCAGATACCACAGATTGACGAATCAGTAGATATAACAGTAATCGTTCAGCTGTAGCACCCTTTCGGTGCCTAACTGCCATGTCAGCAGATGGAAGCACAGGGGCTGGCATATTGCCAGATTGCCCAAGCCTCGACAGGTGAAATCGAGAGGCAGAGGTCGGGCTCGAACCACGGACCTTCCGGTCGGTAAATTCTAACCACTAACTAGACATTTGTTGCACTGTTGCCCTATGACTTTACTTAATAAGACTTACGACTAGCCCGATCACTCATCGTTACATTTATTGAAAACAAATATTTACCTAAGTAATGGTAAAAGCGATGGTGCAATGCAAGACGTACGCGTCGAAAACACAGTACTCAATATGGGATGATTTCCGTATCCGAAAATTAAAAGGTCCTGTTCAAAGCCAGTACAAATACGAAAACTCGCATCTGTGTTTATTATTTATAACTAAAAGATCAAGAACCAGGTAGGGGCAGTCAAGAACCAATTAGTGCACCACAGTGCTTAAACAACCGGGGCAAAACCGGGCGAGCAGTCCTAACGACTGACGAGTTCACCCATCTCCTGGTCCAGTTCTAACTCCTTCCGTGCGCGATTCACTCCAGCAGGATTGGCCGGAATGAAGTACCAACCCCGGTAGTCTCCGTGAGCACGGTCAGAACTGCGGAGCCATCGATCCTCAAAACTGGTGAAGAAAGAAGAGAACATTAACTTCGTCTAGGCTTGAAAAAATAGATATGTTAAGACGGAAAAAGGTAGTGGCAAAAGAAATAAAAACCCAAATGATTCGACCATGAAGGCAGCACGAACAACCAGTAAGTGAAGGAGTAGAGAATCATGCTCCACGTCCTGTCCTGATCTGTTGGGGAACACGTTTAATCTACACTACAAAGCCATAGCCCATTGTCGAGTTCATGTATTTACATCTATAGCTAACCTGTCAGTCATTGCCAAGTGAGCCATACTGCTTACAGTTGAGAATTCGTCCGCATGGAACAATAAAGTCACAACCGTATTGGAACCGGCGGCGGATTAATAACGGCGACTATCGTGCCGCCATCCAAAAGTCGGCCAGCCCTCAGGCAGGGGGTGGCGTTGGGTTCGGCGAATAGAAGCGACGGTCTTTACGGCGAAATGTAAATCATAGAAAAAAGCAATTATTTTGTTCAGGTGCCGGAAGCGCATCACTACCAAACACCGGACGAGTGTGTACCGGTTTATAACATTAGTATTAGTATGTGACCAAATGGGCTTGAGAGGTGAGTAAACCAGCTACCAAGCGGGTCGTCGTTCGTCTGGTTCATGACAAATTACCCCAATATTTGCTAAAACGTCTTCACAAAACCCTCACTCCATAGAAATATCAGCATTCCGAGAGATATTTACAGATAAGATGTGCAGGGAGGTGCTGTCTAGTCTATATAGTACAACCCTTGAAGCGTTGCTCGCATTCTTAGGACCTCTTGATTTCACATCGAGTCAACCTTAGACTCCTAGCGAGATAATTCGGTGGTGTTGTTGTGTCACCTTATACATATGCATATCCATGTACATACATGTGGATATATATGCACATACATACATAGTCATTTCCCACAAACTAACCCTCCGTAGGGAGCGCTTTTCAATTTTTGGAATTTTTATGTCAAAATAAATAATTTGCTCAGGTTGTCAAGCCTACATAACACATACATTACAATGATATCGTCATCATCATCAGTTATTAAAAGGTCCTGTTCAAAGCCAGTACAAATACGAAAACTCGCATCTGTGTTTATTATTTATAACTAAAAGATCAAGAACCAGGTAGGGGCAGTCAAGAACCAATTAGTGCACCACAGTGCTTAAACAACCGGGGCAAAACCGGGCGAGCAGTCCTAACGACTGACGAGTTCACCCATCTCCTGGTCCAGTTCTAACTCCTTCCGTGCGCGATTCACTCCAGCAGGATTGGCCGGAATGAAGTACCAACCCCGGTAGTCTCCGTGAGCACGGTCAGAACTGCGGAGCCATCGATCCTCAAAACTGGTGAAGAAAGAAGAGAACATTAACTTCGCCTAGGCTTGAAAAAATAGATATGTTAAGACGGAAAAAGGTAGTGGCAAAAGAAATAAAAACCCAAATGATTCGACCATGAAGGCAGCACGAACAACCAGTAAGTGAAGGAGTAGAGAATCATGCTCCACGTCCTGTCCTGATCTGTTGGGGAACACGTTTAATCTACACTACAAAGCCATAGCCCATTGTCGAGTTCATGTATTTACATCTATAGCTAACCTGCCAGTCATTGCAAAGTGAGCCATACTGCTTACAGTTGAGAATTCGTCCGCATGGAACAATAAAGTCACAACCGTATTGGAACCGGCGGCGGATTAATAACGGCGACTATCGTGCCGCCATCCAAAAGTCGGCCAGCCCTCAGGCAGGGGGTGGCGTTGGGTTCGGCGAATAGAAGCGACGGTCTTTACGGCGAAATGTAAATCATAGAAAAAAGCAATTATTTTGTTCAGGTGCCGGAAGCGCATCACTACCAAACACCGGACGAGTGTGTACCGGTTTATAACATTAGTATTAGTATGTGACCAAATGGGCTTGAGAGGTGAGTAAACCAGCTACCAAGGGGGTCGTCGTTCGTCTGGTTGCTGCACCTTTTTCATGACAAATTACCCCAATATTTGCTAAAACGTCTTCACAAAACCCTCACTCCATAGAAATATCAGCATTCCGAGAGATATTTACAGATAAGATGTGCAGGGAGGTGCTGTCTAGTCTATATAGTACAACCCTTGAAGCGTTGCTCGCATTCTTAGGACCTCTTGATTTCACATCGAGTCAACCTTAGACTCCTAGCGAGATAATTCGGTGGTGTTGTTGTGTCACCTTATACATATGCATATCCATGTACATACATGTGGATATATATGCACATACATACATAGTCATTTCCCACAAACTAACCCTCCGTAGGGAGCGCTTTTCAATTTTTGGAATTTTTATGTCAAAATAAATAATTTGCTCAGGTTGTCAAGCCTACATAACACATACATTACAATGATATCGTCATCATCATCAGTTGTAAAAAACCGCGTACGTGCCATTTAGTGGCTGTAGCTGTCCATTTCGTTCGCTGGTGATTTTGGGAGATAGCTACACATTGGGGGCGGCGGCTGATATAATTGATTCGTAAATACCGGGGTCAGTGGAGTGTTCTCGAGCCGATCGACAGGAGAATCTATGTACTGAAAGCAACAGCTTGAATGCGTGAGCGTCAGTGAGCACGCGATTGTGCCACACCTACTAATGCCTCTCAACAGTGATGCGTCCAATCTTAAAGTCCCCCAGGGAGATAGAAATGAAGAGTACAGCTGAGTTTCCTAGTAATGGCTCTCCAACTTCATTGCCAAGTCGTTGTTTGATCTGGTTCGCTTCGCACGGTTGTGCGAAAAGTGCTGTTATACTTAATTGAGCCAGACAAACACAGCGCAAAGACGACTGTTCACTGGGATCCAGCCCAGTAATGCGCCTTCAGCCTTGGGGTATAGTGCGACTCCCACACCGTAGATACCATTAGCCATTGCGTCAGGATCACGGGATGCCCGAAGAGTGAAATGTGGAACATCTGGGCTCGTCCTAAGCGCCTTGAGGAGCACGACCGAAGTGGAGTCTTGTATGCGTGTTTCAGAGACACAACATACATCGATAGAGAGGAAAAGTAAAGTTTCAGCAAGGGATGTCTGTTGCCCAATTCAACATAGAATAGGGAGATGAAAGGCTCCAACGTGGATCAGATCTTTTGAGGTTAGTAAGTGATTACTTTGGTTCCTTTTCCTTCTGGGTGAATATTGGGACACGGAATAGTGGCAGATGCGTTGATTACACTGCACTGTACGATGGGTGTTAAGGGATTGACGAAGAAGGCTGGTGAGCGAAGAGCTGCAAGGGCGAATGGTACTTCCTGGCTGCCAAGGCCGAAGAGGGGGGTTTGATTAAGGTGTCCCACCTTGAGCCTTTGACTCAAAAGGCTGACCCACAAGGAAGTGAAAGGATGTAGGGTTTTGTTCGAGGATCCTGCCCACAGCCTCTGACTCGAATCTGAACCACGAAACAGCGGTCGTTGGGGTTTTCTTGGGGGACCCTTCCCGGAGCCGATGACCCAATAGTCTGACCCACTTGGCTCCAAGGGGTTGGTCTGGCCCGAGGACGCAAGGGGTAAGGCATCACTGTCTGACTCCTAGTGCAGCTGCGCATAGCAGGTGTCTTTTGAGCAGCACGAGACTCTTTGATTTCAAAATTATTCCGACTGTACCGAATAATAAGTCAGTAATCACGGTCAACCGTTGGACGATCGGAATGTGCATGCTTTGGGACGACCTCTTCTAACCTGTCCCTCCTTGGGGTAAGGCAGCATCGCCGCATCCATAAATATGGGCACGCTTGTCCCCTTGGGGTAAACGCCTTACTGTCTTCGCACTCCTATCGCAGAGGAATGTACGACTTTACCCCCCGACCACCTCGTAATACGATTACTCGCAGTACGGGGACTCACTGTTCTTGGTCTGACTGCTCCCCCTTGACCTTCTTGGCATGGTTGAACCTTTAGGAAGTGAGTTCCAATCAGTATAGCCCACCGGATCATTGCGGCACAGAAGCCCGACCACCACGACAAGGTGACAGCTTCAAATCGGGGAAGGACACGCAAAACGTCGAGTTATTATTGCTGAACCAACAATACAATGAAGGGTAGAACCAGCAGCGGGTTGTCGAAGAGTTTTCAGCCACCCTATAAGTAGTTCTGAAACTAGCTTGTTTAAAGACAGTTCTAGCCCAACAGACGTTGAGAAGTGGAAGAGAACACTCATAAGGGTGTAACGGTTGAACGTCTGCATCCAGGATGTTCAGTCAGGCTGGGTTCTGTGGTGGAGTGGAATGGGCCAACGGACACTTTAATGGAAACCATAAATGCGGATGAATGGGGCAACATGATGTGCTGAAGACTTACATCAGTTCTTTCTGTTCACGGATATCCTCCAATTGACCAAGGAAGGACTCGTACACCTTTTGCGGGTGTGGAGACATGTACTTCGCCATAAACCGTGATATAGGATGCTACGTCCAGTAAAAGGTTGGATAAGGATAAAAGGACAGAACTAACCTTGTGATACTCCCAATAACGTGGTTCATACCCTTCGGGTATGTCCGTTAGTTCGGCAGGCCCGACAAACACATTGACGAGGAACACTAGCACGAGGCATGGAACAAGACCTAACATAGTGTAAAAATGCTACAATGCACAAGTGCGGTTAGACCACAAGGCGTAGACTGCGAACGTACGAGTGTGTCCAGAGCCCGCGCGTTCAAGAAATCCGACGGTTTGACCTCAAATAATCGCTTTGTGCCGGCATTCCTCAAGGGTGTGACTGATGAAGGTATATAGTAACATAAGAAAAAACTGCATGCCATTACCTAAAGTGAAATATGTTGTAGATCGAAACGCACANGCCCGCGCGTTCAAGAAATCCGACGGTTTGACCTCAAATAATCGCTTTGTGCCGGCATTCCTCAGGGGTGTGACTGATGAAGGTATATAGTAACATAAGAAAAAACTGCATGCCATTACCTAAAGTGAAATATGTTGTAGATCGAAAAGCACACTTTTCTACGATTCTTCGTTGGGTATGGAGTGACAAGCGAGAGGTCAATTGCCGAAGTGGGGCGGACAACCGTTGAACATTTCCACACAGAGCTACCAACATAGCCGATGGATTGCTTCACGCGGTTGGTGGTGCGAACACCGTATCTCTGAAAAGAGCAGTATGACAAGTCCCTGACCTCAGAATTGAACAGAGGGAAAACAGAAAAAGAAGGCTTTGCAAAATACACTCAAACATTGGTGGGAATAAACTTCAAGTATAATCGGCATTCGCAGTTTGTTAACGACCAGCGGGGACGCATTAAGGCCAAGTAAACATTACATACGGATAGAAATCACTCAAAACACGTAACTTCCGGTGGTTTCGCATAACTCGTTTATTAACGATAACGTGAAGTTCATTTACCACCTTCGAAAAAGGACTACCTCCAAACGAACGAACCCACTTTGCTAACGATTTGCCTTGTTAACTGAAACCTTATTTCTATATTTCAGCCTCTCACTGATATCCTATTGGACTGTTAGCTCTTTTTATTTTCTGGTTCAATTGAATTCCATACCACGGAAAGATCCGCTTGCTGGCAGTTGTTTGTCTCCACCATTCCGGTAAACTGACGAGTCTGGCTGATACAGTATCAAAAAGGATATAACACTGGCGATGGGAACCCAACGCAAACATAAACATGTCAAATTCAGCTGAGGATTTGAAAGCACTCCTTCAACAGCAACAAGCGCAGTTCGAACAATCACAATTGCGACTTATTCGGTCTTTTACTCAGGTTATCAGTCTTCAGACATCAGTTCCATCTGAAAAAAAATCGTTCATCTGTAGCAGCCTTTCGGTGCCTAACTGCCATGCCACCCGAAGGTTGCACGAGAGCTGGGATAGTACCAGGTTGCCCAAGCCTAGACGGGGGAAGTCGAGAGGCAGAGGTCGGGTTCGAACCAAGGACCTTCCGGTCAGTGAATTCGCGCTCTAACCACTTGGGCCATCTCGCATGTTCCGTCTCAAAGTAGCACTTCATCATCCTTTGCCGATTCTATCGCAGCAACTGTCACCGAGTTTCTCTACGAACCGGCAACTGATCTCACATTCGATTCATGATGCTCTACGCTCACCACTGACTAAAAACCGCTTCTCGGCGTTTTCAGATCGAAGGAAGGCATCCCTGTTTACACAGTCAACCGTTCGCAACGTTGGGCTACAATGCTTTTGTGCCACGACTTCTCCATCAAGTACCAATCTCGTGAAACTACTGGCCAAGCTGATGCATTGTCAAGGCCCACTGATTCTAAACGTCCACAACCCGAAGATGCTGCAATTGCCGCAATAACAGTGGAACCAGAAGTTAACACAGTGCTTGCTAATACAATCGGTGCACTTCCAATTACTTTTGCACCACTGTTCGTGATCCGCTATTTCAAAGGGTACTCCATTTTCACCGCACACATTGGCTTGAGGTATGTTGCGACAAATAACTTCAACCGTTCTACCAACGTCGATCTTCACTTTCCCAGAAAGATGGTTGCATATTCTTCGCAGAACGCGTAATTGTGCCTCCGGAATTACGGGATGATGTCCTTAAACAATTTCATTTTAGACATCCCGGTGTTAACCGCATTAAGGCGCCAACACGTAGTTATGTCTAATGGCCGAGTATGGATAGGCAGTTAGGAGAACTTGTACGCAAGTGCTCAAAATCCCCTCGGAAAACATAATGATGTTCATGGCCTGTTCCAGAAACACCATGGTCACAATTTCGCGTTGATTCTGAGGGACCAATCAATGGCCAATCACTCTGGTCCTAGAAGATGCCTGTAGCAAATGGCCAGAAGTGTTTAGCATTACTGCTTGTTCTACCATTTCAAAACTACATTTGTTTAGCCACTTTGGAGTTCCAAATATTATTGTCTCTGACAACGGTAATGCATTCACGTCCGCTGAACTTTCTACTTCCTATGAAGAATATAGCCACAACATATGCGATCACCACCGTCCCATCCACAATCAAATGGCCAAGTGGAAAAATTTGTGGATCCTTTCAAACGTGCACTCCTAAAACTCAAAGGAAAGGGGATCATACCGGAAATCATCGAGATATTTCTGCTGAGCTGCAGGGCGACGCCAAATGTTAACGTTCCACATGGTAGGTCCCCGGCGGAAATACTTATGGACCGGAAAATTCGTTCACCCGTTGACGTCATCTGTCCAACGCCACATTCGGTCTTCGTCATCTGCATGACAATGTGCTTCAAGTAGCTTTTTAGCCAGCTCAGCACAGCACGCATAATGCTGGTGGAAAGTGAAGTGATAGCCGGGCCTACACAATTGTATGATCAGAGTCGAGTTGCGTACCCCAGAAGGAACGCCAGTCCATCGTTCTCCATCGGTAACTGATAGCCACCTGGTAAGTGGACTCCAAGTAACTCGATGTGTGTTTGCGTTGGAAGTCCGTACTGTCTAAGAACAAACGATGATCTGCAACACACACACGACACAACTGGAGGAGCTTTGGGGCTTAGTGCAACTCCCACACCGTAGTAACCAAAAGCCATTGTGTCGGGATTACCGTCATCATCGTCAGCTGTAAGAACCGCGTACTTGTCGAACAGCGGTTTTAGCTGCCAGTTTCGTTCACCGAGGATTTGGGGAGGTGTCATGACCATATAAACCATACCTTTGCATAGACCATTAACTCGTAATTCTCACTGTATATTTTCAGCTCATATACTACCGTTATTAGACGATTAAAGCGTACATTACGCCCTTCTGTTCTGTCTTCCCTCTAATCTCATCCTGGAACTACTCGACTCTCGCAACACTTTAATCGTCTAAAAAAAAGAAAAGGATCATATTCTCCGACCCATAGTTTTTGATGCTGCTCCTCACTCATTAGGTGGCATGAAACGATGGACTCATTGGTTCCGTACCTTCAAAACTTACATTAACTCAATCAAACCTGAAGGTCTAAATAAATTGGGAACTCTCATACGTCACAATGACCATACAGTATATGACTTCCTTGCAGAATGTAGCGACTACAATTCTGCAATAACCTTGCTGGGCAACTTTACATTCGCCCGAAAAATATTGTGTATGAACGCCATCTTTTAGCTACATACAAACAAGAACCTGGTCAAGATGTCGACCAGTCCGTTCAAAAACTGGAGTCACTTGCTAAGGACTGTGAGTCCAAAGCAGTATCTGCTAGGGAACATACAAACGAAGCAATTCGGGATGCCTTGATAACCGGACTGCATTCGAATACCATCCGGGAGAAACTGCTAACGTAGCATGAATTGGACCTTGACAAAGCCCACGAAGCCGCACGAGCTCTCGAACTTGCACAAAAACAGTCACAGGCATACGTATACAGACAAACCGTTACTTGTTCTCCGTCTTATCCTTTGTCCATTGTTAATTACGAAACAACAGTTTCTGCCGCTACACAACAAACATGTTACTTTTGTGGAAACCCCAAGCACCCTCGTTATACGTGCCCCGCTAAAGAATCAGTGTGCAAGAGTTGTGGAAAAATTGGACATTTCTGACGCTTCTGTAGGCCCAAAATCTCGAAATGTCACGCGGGTTCAGATCAAGAGTCCTCAACCTCTTCGCTATTCTATGCTGCTGTTCCCAACTGCCTATCCAAAACTACAACAGATATTTTGGTCAACGGCGTTGTTGTCCGAGCTCATCGATACCGGTAGCTCCAGATTTTTCGGTTCTCCATCAATCATACAAACTCATAGCTGGAAACTAGTTACGTACGATTCTGTGTAACAATGGCGTCAATGATACATTCATGTTCTATCAAGGGTTACTGCCTTGTGTCTATTCAGTACACGGATGCTACGTACGAAAGGTTCAAACTTTATGTATTATCGAACCTATCTAAAGACATCCTTCTCGGATATGAATTTCTGGGGTTAGATGATGAAGTTGAAATTGCATTCGGTGGCCAGCGGGGCACTCTAGCTGCATGTGGCGTAACATCCGCGAAACTGGAATCTCCATCCTTATTCACCAATCTTGCTACGAATTACAAACCGATCGCCACGAAATCTTGTCGTCATACATCGGAAGACGAACAGTGCATACAAACCGAAGTAGACCGAATGCTTACCGATGGCATAACCGAACCATCAAATTCCCCATGGAGAACACAAGTGCTCGTAACGCGCAATGCGAATCACAAAAGAGACGTATGGTGATGGACTACAGCCAGACCGTCAGTCGCTTCGCCTACCTTGACGCTTATCCTTTACCAAGACAGGACCAAATGATTGAAACCATCACCGTCTACAGTACACTGGATCTCCAGAGTGCATATCATCAGGTTCCAATAATCGAGTCATACAAGCCATTCACAGCATTCGAAGTAGGGGGAACCTATGCCAGTTTCGGCGCGTTCCTTTCGGAGTGACAAACGGGGTTGCGTGTTATTAACGACCGTTAAACAATATAACCAAAGTCGAACAGGTGAAAGACACATTCGCCTACATTGATAACGTCACTGTATGTGGCAAAACGAGAGGGGCATTTTCTCGATGTTGCTAAAACATACAATATTACTTTGAATGGCACGAAAATCAGCTTCGCAACTGAAGAGATCACTCTCTTGGGTTACTAGGTGCATACGTATACAGACAAACCGTTACTTGTTCTCCGTCTTATCCTTTGTCCATTGTTAATTACGAAACAACAGTTTCTGCCGCTACACAACAAACATGTTACTTTTGTGGAAACCCCAAGCACCCTCGTTATACGTGCCCCGCTAAAGAATCAGTGTGCAAGAGTTGTGGAAAAATTGGACATTTCTGACGCTTCTGTAGGCCCAAAATCTCGAAATGTCACGCGGGTTCAGATCAAGAGTCCTCAACCTCTTCGCTATTCTATGCTGCTGTTCCCAACTGCCTATCCAAAACTACAACAGATATTTTGGTCAACGGCGTTGTTGTCCGAGCTCATCGATACCGGTAGCTCCAGATTTTTCGGTTCTCCATCAATCATACAAACTCATAGCTGGAAACTAGTTCCGTACGATTCTGTGTAACAATGGCGTCAATGATACATTCATGTTCTATCAAGGGTTACTGCCTTGTGTCTATTCAGTACACGGATGCTACGTACGAAAGGTTCAAACTTTATGTATTATCGAACCTATCTAAAGACATCCTTCTCGGATATGAATTTCTGGGGTTAGATGATGAAGTTGAAATTGCATTCGGTGGCCAGCGGGGCACTCTAGCTGCATGTGGCGTAACATCCGCGAAACTGGAATCTCCATCCTTATTCACCAATCTTGCTACGAATTACAAACCGATCGCCACGAAATCTTGTCGTCATACATCGGAAGACGAACAGTGCATACAAACCGAAGTAGACCGAATGCTTACCGATGGCATAACCGAACCATCAAATTCCCCATGGAGAACACAAGTGCTCGTAACGCGCAATGCGAATCACAAAAGAGACGTATGGTGATGGACTACAGCCAGACCGTCAGTCGCTTCGCCTACCTTGACGCTTATCCTTTACCAAGACAGGACCAAATGATTGAAACCATCACCGTCTACAGTACACTGGATCTCCAGAGTGCATATCATCAGGTTCCAATAATCGAGTCATACAAGCCATTCACAGCATTCGAAGTAGGGGGAACCTATGCCAGTTTCGGCGCGTTCCTTTCGGAGTGACAAACGGGGTTGCGTGTTATTAACGACCGTTAAACAATATAACCAAAGTCGAACAGGTGAAAGACACATTCGCCTACATTGATAACGTCACTGTATGTGGCAAAACGAGAGGGGCATTTTCTCGATGTTGCTAAAACATACAATATTACTTTGAATGGCACGAAAATCAGCTTCGCAACTGAAGAGATCACTCTCTTGGGTTACTAGGTCCCCAAAGGTATTATAAAACCTGACCCAGAACATATGCGCCTTGTAAGAGAACTCCCAATTCCACAGAACGGGAAACCGCAGCAAAGAGCCGCTGGTTTGCTCGCCTACTATTTACAGTGGATACCGGCGTTTTCTGACAAAATTCATCCACTGGTAAGAGAGAATGTCCATCATCATCATCATCAACGACAGCATGACATCAGTTGTTAACACCAATGCTTCACTGCCGTACAGCCATGACTTATTTGAAAGCCTTATTGTAAAGAAAAGAATAAAGGTGGATGGGGGAGGGACTTAGTGCTAGCTTAACACAATCATTCCGAGGTGCCTACACCTCCAGACATTCACTCAGGCAATCTGGACAGAAACTGACAACAAGAACGCCACTGACATCGGTTGGCAGCCACATCTTGTAATGTCTCCAACCAGGCACAGTGAGGATCACGCGGTCCCCATCCTGGAAGGCGAGTAGCACCGACAGC